CACTATGGCCCAGGACTTGGGCGTGTGGGAGACCGCACCGCTGTACTGGCCTTACGGGAAGCAGAGAAGGGCCGCCCCGTGCTTTGGGGAGGAGGACCGCCAGCACCCTGTGGCGCAGGCCCCTGGGCAGCTGTGAGGAGCCAGCGGCAAGGACTGTAGAAGTGGAGAGAAGGGGGGAGCCGTGGCGATGCCCACAGCCCGGGAGGCGTGGGCAGGAGCCGGGGAGCTGGGGAAGCCGTGTGCAGAAGCTCCTCCTCCACACTGCACACCACACTCACCCCACGCGGGGCAGGGCCTGGCTGCTGCGGGCTCCGCGTTCTCAGGGGTCGGGCAGGGGAGCGTCCCGGCCTCCATGACAGCTGGCACGAGGACAGCCTTGGCCCGCACATGGGGCCAGGGGGGTCGTGATGGTGACTCCCCAGGGTGCCGTGGGCTGGCCCCGATGCCTGGTGGGGAGACAGGCATCGGAAGAATCTTGCTGCAGACGGCTCCTCGTGCAGTCCTCCCCGAGCCGTGCGGGGTCTGCGGCCGCAAGGGTGACCGCACACTCTGGGACACCAACCAGGCCTCTGCCAGCAGGGGTGCCACGCCCGGCGGAACCATCCCCAAGCGAGCACTGCCCCGGACTCCAAGACGACACGGCGCACCCGCGGTCAGCCCAGCCAAAGAGATGACGCGCAAGAGACCGGAAACAAGGCGAGGACGAGCCGGCCCAGGCAGCCACATCGCCCTCCTACAACGCTGGGAGGCTGAGGCAGGGGGGTCACAACTTCAAGCCCCCACCTGGGCAACTTATTGATTCTATACCACACAGGGTCTTAGAGATTTGTGTTACACGCATCTGCACGCATACATATATACACACACACACACATACCCATAAGCAGACAAGGCTGTGATCCCAGCACGCAGGAGGCTGAGGCAGGAGGATCCCCAGACCGAACCTCATGGATGAGGAGACGCTGGCTTCAAATACACACTGAAGCCAGGTGTGGTGGCGCACACCTGTCATCCCAGCACTTGGGAGGCTGAGGCAGGAGGATCGTTGCAAGTTTGAGGCCAGCCTGGGCTACAAAGTGAGCTCAAGGCCAGCCCGAACTGCATAGCGAGGCCCTGCCTCAAAAAAGACCAAAAAGCAAACAAACAAGAAATACACACTGAACGCAGAGCTGTGTGCAGGGCAGGGTAAGGAACAGCTTGGGCTCAACCCCAGGGCCAAAATAGATGAAGAAACGCTTCTGAAAACATTTTTTTATGCCAAGAAGAATGGAAACAGGGCTGGCTCCAGAGCTCGGCGGAAGAGAGGGCGGCACCCGGGGCCTCTGTGCTCTGCGCGGACGGTGGAGGCTGGCCGAGTACACACCCTCGCCGGGTGCGCACGGAACACACACTGGAGCCGGGCAGGCATGGAGCCCACAGAGGCCAGGGTGAAGACGAAGGGCGGGAGGGGCCGGGAGGCCACTGGGCATCCTCCTGCCTCAGCCTCCCACAGGGACATGCGCTCTTTCAATGTTGAAGGCAACTGGTCCCTCCGGCAGGGTCCGTGCTGGCCCCTTAGGAGCCCCAAGCCCGGCGGTCTGCAGGACGGATACCCACACCGTGGCGCCCGCCTCAGCCCAGCACGCGGGAGGCTGAGGCGGGAGGATCGCTGTGAGTTCGAGGCCAGCCTGGGCCAGTACTGAGACTGTCTCCAAAAACGAAAACTAGGTAACTAAATGAAATGAAAGCTTCTACACGGAAAACGTAAGGCGGTTTTGGGAGCAACAGCTGGACGTGATCCGGTGGGAAGACGCCCTCGGGGGCAGAACACCGTGGCCGAGGCTGAACGAACGACAGGCCTCCGGAGGACGCGGCGTGTGGACCCCGCTGTGTCAGAGCTGCAAGCACCGCGCCTGCCCCGGGCGGACCCTCAAGTCACGCGCAATTCCGAGGGCTCCCCAAGGCAAAGCCGTCGAGAGACACGAACGGACAAGGGACCCGAGGGACCCCAGCTGCCAGGGCGGGGCGAGGCTGAGGCAGGAGGGCTGCAGGTGCAGGCGGCCCGCACCCACAGTGAGCCCGCCTCGCAGAATTCTAGACAGTGCGGGGTGCAGCCCGGCGTGCTGCTCCCCAGCTCCACCTGCGTTGGCCACTGAGTGCCCGGCCCCAGCCCGAGCGGCGCCCGCACACCCACCTTGGCCACCTGGCCCATGTCGCCGGCCGTGGCTCGCTCGTTCGGGAACTGCGCGAAGACGCCCTCGATCCTGGCGATGACGGCGTCCACGTGGGCGGCGTGCTCGGGGCGGCCGCGGGGGAAGTAGAAGGCGGGGATGGTCTGGCTGCTCGGCGGCGGCCGCGGCTCCTCCCTCTGCACCTGCACCTGCAGCAACAGGGACGCAGCGTCAGGGCCGAGGGGGAGGAGGGGACTGCGGCCCCAGACATCTGGGGTCACCAGGACTCCACAAGGCAGGGAGGACCCCCAGGAGGCGGCGCAGGGGAGCCGGGCTGGGACTTGGGGCCCTCCTGCCTCAGCCTCCAGCGTGCCTATGACGGGGCGTGCCACCGAGGTCACCGTTTCTGGCCAGGCAGTCATTGGCCAGGAGGGCAGACGCGGGACAGGGGAGGGAGACAGCAGGACAGGGCGCCGTGAGAGCCAGGCTGGGACCGGGCGGGGTCCAGGGGCACAGTCCGGGCCGGAAGGGGTGCGAGGCTCCCAGGGACCCACAGCCGGCCGCCAGCCCGCCTGCACGCGGCCCCAGGGCCCAGCAGAGGGCGCCCGAGGCCCTGCACTGCTGCCCCAGGCGGCTGGGATTTTCAGGCTTAATCTCGGGACAGAAATAGAGCTCGCGGCTGCCGAGCATTCCTACCCCACACGCGGGCGGGCGCGGCCGCCGGGAAGGAGGGTCCGGTGCGCGGCGTGGGCAGCTGCGCCTGGACGTCGCGCGGTCCC